GACCTCCTTTTAGGAGACAGTGTGTATCACGGGATAGGAATTTCTGAAAGTTATAACCTCAGTTATTTCATTTACTTTCATATTTCTATTAATGGGGCACAGATGTTTGTCCCACAGTCTCACTGTGATGGGACCACGATAAGTAGAATCAAGTAGCAGGAGAAGTAGGGGGCCCTTCATGGGATGAGTTCAACTGGAATGCTTTAATTTGGATTTCTACATTGAGCAATGGGACTTGGGTGGAACTTGGTGGCCAAAATGGTCCCTTCCAGGTCTCTATGTTTCTCTAACCACATTTGATGTGCATACATAGAACACTGAATTTAGTAGTACGTATTATTAAACGTGTTAATTTTTAAAAAATTACTGCTTACGGTTTGGAGATTTCCATGCAACTCTGGAATGTGTGAGATGTTTGCCATTTGCAACACTATGGGGTTGATACAGATCCTGGATATGCTGCAAGTATTTCAGCCATAATTCTAACCAGTCAATTCTTCCAAGTCTAGTCATCATATCTAGATCTGGGGGCACAGTTATGCCATAGTTCTTAAGACACATTTCTTTGTATTGGTGAGTGGTGTTCTCAGACTGAGCCTTATGTACCCCTGACACTGTGCACTTCTTGTAACTGTGATCTTTAAATGTTAACTGCCTATATAAAATGTTCTTTTCATATATTCTGAAAGAGGGTGGGAGAAAACCTCCTGTTTCCAGCACATTTTCTGGTATCTGACTGAGGTGTGTGTATCTTATTTTTTAAAAAAGAGGAAGAAAGGTTTTGTTAAATTGCCCAGTTCAGTACTAATAGATAAGATCTCTTTATAATACATTCAAAGCAAGAATCACAAAAAAAAAAAAAAAATCATAAGGGCATCCTGTGCTTAGCAGAACATGCCCAGAATACTCTATTTTAACTTTGTGCCTTAGGCCCACATTTAGAAATCAAACAATTGTTGCATTCATCATTCTTAAACTGTGGACCAGGGCTTGGACTAACAGGCATAAATCTTCTGTTATAGAACATCATCTGTTTAGGGAAACATCCATGTTCCATTTAAAAATTGAAGAACCCTACAAAACCAGAGCAAGATCCTTGGAATTAGCATCCAGACAGCAGACGAATAGGTACACAGCTCACCTACTTAAATCTTGCCCTCTACAGTGAGATGATACGTATTTCCATTTAATCCTGGGGTCTCAAACTGAAGGCTAGAACCCTGTAGAGGAGCACTGTTAAAACTAGCTTTGAGAGCAAAGGATATCTCCAACCATAATCCAGAAGAAAAGTGTACTTCAACTGACATACATTTTTAAAAAACTGGCTTTATCGTGGCATGTGGAGTCCTTGGTGGTCTCTGAGCTTGGTTGTTTGTTTGCAGACGTTTCATTACCCAGCTAGGTAATATCATCAGTGTGAGTAAGTGTGGAGTTTGCTGCCTGTTTATACGCAGTAGCTTGCCCTGCCAGTGTTGGTGGGGGTGTGTTTTTCTTCTTGGTAGTTCCTTGATTAGGGTATTGTTTTCTGCCTGATTGTTTGTCTGGTGTCAATCCCTGCTTCTCTGGGTGTTGGCTGCTGGAGGGGATGTGTTCTGGTCTTTTTGATTCCTTCTTAGCTTTTTTATTGCCTATTCTAAATGGTGTGTAAACGTGGTTTATCTCTATATGTCTACTGATGGCTAATTTGTCGGAACGCCAAGCTTCCAGGAATTCCCTAATGTTTTTGGATTGGGCTTTATCATGGGGATGTAAAGAAAACAGCAATAGCAAGAATACTGCAATCTAGAGCGATCTATGAGTTAGACTTCTTGGGCAACTCGTAGGTTCTCCGTGTTTCATAGTTCAAAGCACTATGTGGCTATGCCAATTTAATAATACTGTCCCCAGCAGGAGATTATGATCAGTATAAGGGAGGAAATAGGTAGTATTAGAAAGTGGGGGTGGGGGGGTGGTATTATATGCTTACGTAAGAGTCCCATCTCTAAAAAGAAAGGTTCTGGAAATGCATTATAAAAATGTCGGCTCTTCAACATAAAAACAATTAAAAAAAAAATACACAGGCAGTTAACATTTAAAGGTCAGGGCTAAGAAGGGCTCTTCTAATAGGCATTGTTTTGGAAATTCAGTCCATCAGGGACTTGGAATTGTTCCTTTGGTGTCTATTTAAAAGGTATTGTAACACCCCCAGTCTCTACACATAATGTTGATTGAAGAGGAATATTGATTCCAGAGAGAGCTACATGGTGTGGAGAACATTGAAGGCTGCTGCCTAAAAGCTGTTCTGAGAGAATAACTTAATATAGAGCCAAGACTACCAAGGATTTATCCCCAGATTTTGTTAGCATTTTTAGTATGCACGGTGTCCAGTCCTAGGACATAATTCTGAATTTATACCAGGTGATATAGGGTGCTAAGCGTATAGCAATGCAACAGCACTCAGCTTTTCAAAGCACTTGGTGTCTCGCAATCACATCTTCTGATGCCAAAGCTCTTTGCATACTTTTGGGGTCACTTTGTGGAGAGGAAAATGTGCTGGGCATATATCCAGAGGTACATCTGCCAGTGCGGTTAACTGAAAGAGGGCGAGGGCTAAAGCTCTTCCTTCCGATCAAGGCATGGATCAGCTGGGATGTCCTTTTCATTCTTGGCAACCCAATGGGAATGGGGGACAGAAAGGGATTCAGAACTGTCTGTCTGTCCATTTGTCTGTCAGTAGGGTACCACTCTGAACATTGAACAGAATGGGGGCTTTATGGATGCTGAACTAGAAAAGCAATATGGAAAATTAGTTTTATATATGGTAACTGCGGTAACCATTATTGTATGCACAAAGATAGAAGAATAATGAAATAACCAGAGTGGAAGACTGGATTATAAAATTGATGGAGCTTGTGGAAATGGCAGAGCTGACCAGGTTGGTCAGGGAAAAAACAATTAAGACTTTTTTAAAAGATTGGAAGTCTTATACGGACTTTTTGCTGAAAGAAGAAAAGACAGAACCAGTGATTTATGAAATTGGAGATTAAAAAGGGTCAAAGAGTAAAATGGCAATTATCAATAGAAGGAAGGGCAGAAGTCATAATTCTATGTTTTCTTTCTTTTTTTCACTTCCCTTCTTTTTCTTCTTTTTCTTTGTACTTTTATTGTATTGTAAAATTCTAATTTTAAAAAATGAGCATTGAATAGAATGGGACCAAATTTGTGCGGGACAGGGGAGAAAATATCAAAAGAGAGATTCAGTTCAACAGCGGGCCAAATCAGACTAGAGTCTGCGGAGAAAAGAAATTCCAGGAAAATTTTGTTTTTCTGGAAATGAAACGCACACCCCAATGGGAGAGAGCCGGGCTGTGGCTTGGAACGCTGCCGATCACTCCACTCTAAGCCAGCCTGCCTCCCTCCTGGTCATGTGACCCCATGGGGTGCTGCTACTAAGGGTTGCAAAGACCTCCAGAAGCCCTGCTCTGCAAGGTAATTTCCTCCCTTATTTCCTGTTTAAATAGAAAAGGCTGACCCCAAAGATGGTTCCAGGTGATGAGGATCACTTGAAGATCAACTTACTCTCCATACCTAGTCAGCCCAGTCCGCCCCACCAAGCTATCAAGGAAGGGACTACAAGCAAAAGGCGTTGATAGATCCGGGCCTTATTGTCCATGCACAGTCCAGAAGAGTGGACTCCAAACATCTTACGGGGTTAACTGGGGCGTGGGGAGACAAGTGACATCACACAAATTGTATAACTTGCATCAGTTACACAATGATGTCGTTATTCATAACACAAGGGCTTCTACTGAATGCCTCTCTCTGTCCATTGGAGCCAGCAGCAATATTTTATTTTGATGTTTACTTGACACTGAGCATCAGACCTTTTCTTCAGCTTTAATATGAATATTTATACGCAGGCCCAGCTGAGCTGTGCAATGCTGCACATACCATAGCGTTCTTTGGATACTTAGCCTGCAGCCTTACGCTTCTGAGCTCACTGGTTTTTTCCACGCAGCATCCTAAATCGTCACACGGTCCGGCATTCACGTGCGTGTTTTGTGAACTGAGCAACACAGCTAGGGCTCGTTTTCATGTATCAGGGAAGCCGGCCTGTCCTTTGCTTTGATGCTGGCTCTTTGCAAACTGCCCTTGTTGTGGCTGTTTGACACAAAGGGTCGAATGAGGCCATGTAAGAACCCAGTGAGCAGGGCTGGCTCTAGACATTCTGGTGCCCTCAACCAGGGTTCCTCAACCTCAGCAACTTTAAGATGGGTGGACTTCAACTCCCAGAATTCCC